TCCGCGCTCGGGAGGGTATAAGGAGAGGGAGGTGCTCGGTGCTCTGAATTCAAGCCAGGGTCCGTTGGTTTTAATGAATTCTGACTTGGTGATCACATCTGATCTGACCAACGCCGATCGTCTTGTGGACTAAATCTCTATGCCAGTGACAATCTGCGACAGGAGGTTGGGAAGACTCGATTCACTCTCTTCTTTAGCGATAGAGGTTGAAGATCGAAGGCAATTTGGTGCTGGTAAACACAGGCTTCGTCGTCAAATCCGAATAGTTGTTTAGCAAATAGCTCCCGTTGAAGGTCAGTCCTTTCTCTGCAACCCAACCAACAATTATGGCAACCGATAAACTTTTTCGTGCCGCCCTCGGTAACAAACATGCTTCGCTTGTTTGTGTTTCGCATCAGTGAGCGAAAATGAAGAAATAGCTGTCGCAAAATAAGATTCCATATGAAGAACTAATTTATTCTGTCATTCTTTCATTCATGCATTATAACTGCTTAAAAGTTGATCAACTTTGCATTTTCGAGAAATAGGCGCGAATCATTGGTGTCCCTCTCCCGTCGTCTAGTGTGTCAATGGAACGTCCGATTTAAGCCTGTTGAGGATGAGATCGGATGCCCGTCATATACTTTAATTGGCCCCTTTAGATTCTGGCTCACACAAGTAGAGGAGTAGACCCGTATGGACGAATCCGATCAAAATTGAGAAACACTCGTTGATAGCTTCACTGAGATCGACTGAGAAGGGAATGCGCAGTCTAATTGAATGCCAACGTATCACTAGCAGGACTGAGGAAAGAGCAAAGGAGTGTGTTCACTTCTTAAATTTACTCTTTCTATCAAACTGTTTGAGGAAGTGAAATGTATGTTAAGAAGTAACACAAACAGCCAATGTTACGCGTCATTTAAAGCACACGTGAACAAGGCTCGAGTGAAGCCATCCTGCAATTAAGACAAGTGGAAGATGATGGCAAAAGAAACAACTTCGAGCGCCTACCTTGACTGCAAAGAACTTTTTAGTTTTTCATTCTTGTGAATGTAAAATTCCATTGACTACGGTGGATGAGTTATCCCATAACACGTCAAGAATGGACAATAGTGTGCAAAAAAGCATGGAGGAAGAGAAAGATCTGAATATAGTCACTGCCTTACATGCTAGAGCAACGATTCAATCTAGTATAATGGGGTAGATGGTATGCTTACGAATAGAATTGCTGAGAAATAGTTACACAGCGTCACCCTCAATTAACGTATTTATTTTCATACAAAGACCGGGACCAAAGGACTGGGAAAAAGCGTCATATCAATACCTGTCCCGTCATATTACCCCGAGTTATTCCCGTCAAGTTACATTACTGAAAGAGGTTTAAATCAAATGAAGCCAGGTAAAACCCAGGTACCGAATCCAAACCCTATAAGACAATGAGGGCACTACAGTAGGCCTTGAGTCGTATATGGGAGATCTTCACTGTAACGGCCGATTTTCAATTATTGCAAACTCTCGGATATACAGAAAGTTCGTAGCCTCAGACAGGTGCGAAGGCAGTCAGCGCACCTAGGTACAAACCACCGTTAAGAACACGATTACCTCTGGTTCTGCGTTAGAGGGCAAAACATTAGGCTAGGGTACAGGTTACATCCAAGTCGAACCGAAATACAACCTCCGGTCTCCGTGTGGCGGTTCGCGGGCAACGTGGGTATACTCACGGCTAACAGGAGGCAATGGCAGGTAACACCGGGACGTCATCTGTAAGCAAATTCCCAAGAAACTTCATGGACAATATGAATATAACGGGTCTCAATAGGGCTACGACGTCCCCGCAAAGTTTCGCACTCTGTGATCGTCTGGTGCCCGGAATGGCAAATATGCCAGCCAGTAGCCTAACTTTCCGACACAGCTTCAACATCGGTTGCTGGAATGTGCA